CTCGTGAACGCGCTTTTAGGAAATCCTATACACTACTGTTTACGAGCAGTATGGAGGAATATTGAAACGTTTTTTGTGGACTTTTATGGACCTTTCTGCCTCGGGCGCCATAGACCTCCATTATTTGAATGTCAGCAGACAGCAAGAAGCCTTCCAGATCTCCAGATGCATTTGAGATATCAAAAAAGTACCCCAGAGTGTTGTTCAGCATGGGGGTGAGTAGAAAATGAAGGCTAATCATATTTTGGGTGTACTATTCCTTTAAGGCCTCAGTACATGGGTTGTGCACAGTAACCACTGCTCCACCTGCACGCCCAAAACTAAAAAATAATAACAACCATAGAGCATCAGGAGGACATAACATGGAGCAGTGATGGAGAAAACAGCTGATAAGCATGAGGCAGAAATGAATATGGTGATGGAAAAGTTCGACGTAGTACAATGATGAGCTGAGAGTTTTATACTGAGGGAGGTGTGGAGAATGACACAGGAACAGGATGTGTTTATTAGGAGAGAATATGGGGCAGCTGAGGCTATATGGAACTAAAAGAGCTTAAAACAAGTTCCTTTTCAAGAGCTATTGGAGTAAACAGCACAGAGATTATAATTACAATATTCTCATGGGTTCAGAGGAAGAGAAGAACAATTACATTTAAATGAAATAGTTGTCCTGTGCATAGAGCTTTAATCAGGCAAAAAACACTGAATATCAGTAACATAGTTTGTCCATGACCTTTGAACCCGGCTGTGACTATTAAAGCTGCGATTTTACTAATAGATTCATCTGTTGATTTGTTTTTTCATTAATTCAATAAATAATCGCAGGAAATGTTTTTTACAGCTTTAAACCACGTGAAACTAAAGCTTTTCCACTTGAGGAGTTCTGGGTAGAACATACTGACTGACGGAAAGGTTATTTGTTTGAATAAATATTTTTTAAATTAATGCTTGTAGCGACAGTGGAGAGCAAAAACTCCCTTTTAACAAGAAGAAACTTCCAGCAGAACCAGGCTCAGTGTGAGGGCCGTCTGCTGAGGCCGACTGGGGTTCAAGGAGATAGAAGCAGAGATACAAAAAGAAGCAGAGATACAAAAAGCAACTGTAAAAAGGCGGCCTCGTCCAGGAAACACACAGCCAGGCAGACGAGCTCCAAGGCAGCTCCCATGTCAGAGGATGAAGAGAGCACATCCAGCCAGTCACAGTCAGAGAAACAGGACTACACTGAAAAACAGGTAGATCTCCACCCTCTATAAACAAAGGTGTTGATGGCAGCAGCACAGCTGATATTTATATATATTTATATATATATATATATATATATATATATATATATATATATATATAAATATTAGGGGTGGAACGGTTCACGGTTTGTGGTCACGGCTTTCGGTTCGGTTTCGGTATATGTTGATTGTTAGCCTGACATGTTGGTCGTGTTGCTGTTAGCATAAACAAAACGTGTTGCACAATGCTTGCACATTGTTTTTATCCACAACTTTCTTTCCGCCGTCATCGTAGGTCACTCTAAATGCAAAGTGGTCCCATACAGCAAACCTATAAAGTGCTGCTGGCCATGCTGCTTCGCTTCTTCTTCTTGTTTACTACTGGTGGTTGGCTGTGGTAGCAGTACCGCCACCTTCTGCTCTGGAGTGTAAACGCTTCGCCTATGAGAAAAAGGAGCAGCGCATGAACCGAACGAAACACACGCGAATCGAACCGAGACAGTCAAACCGAACGGTTCTGACGGTTTTCATAAACCGTTCCATCCCTAATATATATCTATATATAGATATATATATCTATATATAGATATATATAGATATATATATATATATACAGAGAGAGAGGGGGGGTTAATGATTAATGATTAAGCAACTACTAAATTAGTTGACAACTAATTCAATAATCGATTGATCACAATTAATCTAATTAATTCTTTCTGCCGTTGTCCCTAAAGCACAAAGTTAATTTAGCCTAACACTCTTGTAAAGTCTGGATCTTAAAAGCCGAGCTGAATTTATGTGAATTGCACAAAATCCCATTAAATTCATTATATTTTATGAATACCTCAATTGGTATGAATATTTCTGGCCCAATTAAATTACAACCAGGAAACAGATTCGCAGGAGTACAAGCTTCATCTTTAAAAGACAGGCAAGAGTTAAAATAATAATAAAAATATCTAAGCCGAATTTGCTGTTCTGGTAAAACACATAAAACACATCAGCTTCAAAGAGGAGTATAACTAACTAATCACAGGAGCGTTAAATGTTGCTGACGGGCTGAGCCAGAAGATGATTAGTGGGTAGTTAGCAACCATGGCAGCACAAACAAGCCAAAACAATCACTGTCAGGGGGCGGTGCTAGCCAAAAAATCCTGGCACACTGCACCTAATCTGGACACCCTGTGCTCAAGTTAACACTGCAGTCTTTAATGAAACCCTCTACTTTGTTTTTTTTCTTTTTCTTAATAATGGGGATGTATTTTAATCTCCCTGGCAGCTGCTCCATTCAAAGCGCTCAGCCTCTGTTTGCAAGTACGCAGCTCGGGGTATTTGTGAAGCAGTGCGATGAAATTTGTCCACCTGCACCGTGCTGCTGTTTGAAGTGGAGCACTTAAGGCATCCGCTGTCATCGACTGCAGGAGCAAAGCAGGAGATGGACAAAGGAAGAGGAGGAAAGAGAAAGTGGAAGGAGGAGGTGGAGAAGCAGTTGTTAAGAGGGGAAGGGGGGGCAGTTTCATGTCTCATCACCAAACATAAGCAGTGAGGTGGTGGTGGTGGTGGGGGGTGATGTTGCTTTGAAAACGGGCGTGCAACAGGTGCCTCCAACTGTAGAGCTGACAAGCCTCGTGGGTGGGGGTGAATCCAAAGGGGGATTTGGTGACATCAAACACAACAACAAACAGAGAGTTTGGTAATCCTTTGAAAGGAAGGAAGAGTGTGTGTAGTTAATATTTTACAGCTCCATTGAAGCATGGGGGGCCAATTACGGCACAGAGCAGAAGGACTGGTTCCCGTAAAGACGCCAGCAGTGAAGAAGTAACTAAAGAGCTTTATTTCCCCTCAGCACACTACCTTCCACATTACAAGGAAGAGGGAAGCAGTTAATTGTAAAACAATCCACCAAGTTCAGCTTTTCAAGCTCTCTGCAGTTCTCAAAAGCTAAACTGAAATCTGCAACCAAGCGTGAGTCTGTGACACGTCAAGCTCTTATTCTTCTTGTTTTTTTATGTTTAATGAGTAAGAAGAGTAGCAGCAGCAGAAACAGGTGTGAGACACTGATAAACCAGCAGAACTTCAAAAAGGCTGCTCTGTGACATAGTTCAACTTTTTAAAAAGGAACTCTGGCACCACAAACCCTCACTGTCTATTTTTACACACAGTACCTGTGAAGTCGTGGGTAGTTTTCTGTCCAGGCCCAGAAAAAAATAAAAACTCATAAGCAAAAAAAAGGTTTAGGTGGCCACCAAACTGGTTGACGTTGCTCGTTGGAAATTCTCAGTAAGGAAGTAGGGTTTTCCAAGAATAGGGTATTACTGTGGACGTTGTACATTTGTGGCGTTTCTAAGAAGCATCACTCACATTTAGGCAGAGGAATTAAAGAGGACACAGTAAACTTTGCTTAGATAAGACGCAATTTGAAAATTGTTTTATAAAATAAAGTAAAAAAAACACTACAAACCAAATCCTTGCTGACAACCATGGTGGTGGCAGCACCATGCTGTGTTGAGGCTTTTCTTTAGCACAGACAGGGAAACTGTCCTGGTTGATAATCTCAGACCAGTTTTTAAAAATAAGACCAGAATAGGGAAAGATTTTATTGTTTAGCAGTGCAGATCAAACTGAGGGATATATCCAAAGAATTGGAGCTTCCACTGTACAGTTATTCACTACAGCAGGCATCCCTAAAGTCAGTCCTCTAGGGGTGCTGTCCTGCAGGTTTTAGAGGTTTTTCTGCTTTAGCACAGCTGATTCAGATGATTGCAGTTCAGCAAAAGCCTGTTTATCAACTATCGATGTAAATCACCTGGGATGGAGCAGGGAAACCTCTAAAACCTGCAGGTCAATGGCCCTTGTGGACCAACTTTGGGGATTCCTGCACTACAGTGTGATGGTGTAGGTAAGGTTTAAAGCTTTAAAGGTGCATACCCACAGTATATGCCTATACAGAAATACCACAAACCATTTGATGGTAATAAAATACGGGTTCATACACCAAGGGTCCATCCTAATAGTTTACTTTTTGAGCATAAATAGAATTTCTGCACAGGACGCAATGAGCGGGTATATACACAGACATTTATGCCATCTGCTGGCAGTACCACAGAACTGTCATAAACAAGATGGTGACAAATTTGTCAGCTAGTTAAAGTAGCTCGGACGTCCTGCAGTGCCTCGCTGTAAAGTGACATGGTTGGAGACAATCCCATATTAATCAAATATATGGATGGATCTATGGCAACTTAAAGTTTTACTGAGACCTCATTGGATCCTCCTATCAAAAAATATAGGGAAGAAGAAAATTCCTGTTCCCCACAAACACTAAGCATTGTGATAAGACATTTTTCAATTACATAAATAAAAAAAAGTCATAAGTTAAAATATTTTAATAGTAATAAAGGTAAATTTAACGCATTGAAATGCAATTTCCTTGGCAAGTAGATTGTCCATGGGAGATGAATTGAATCTGATCTTGAGTAGGCTGCAGGATTTTATTGGCTTTGACAAAAAACGGCATGGGACACCATGATGACTATTTCAGTCAACCAATCAATCAGCTGATCATGTATCTATAAAATGTTTGTCCTTAGACTGTAGAGGCTAAGAATATCATTTCTATCACTGCTATTAATAAGGATGTTACCTCGCACATCCAACAACTCTTGCTTTAGTGAACATCAACTTGTATAAAATATTCAAGTCTTTCCCACTTGGAATGAACAATTCTCTCATTTTTTGTTTTGTTTTTGTTTTTACAGTGGATCTTGGGCTGCTCAGTGGACCCGGGGTCTTTCTGCATGGAGTTTGCATGTTCTCCCTAAGCATGTGTGGGTTCTCTTCGGGTACTCCGGCTTCCTCCCACAATCCAAAAACTTGACTGTTAGGTTCATTGACTTCTCTAAATTCTCCTTAGGTGTGAGTGTGTGTGAATGGTTGTTTGTCCTGTTTGTCTCTGTGTTACCCAGCGATGGACTGGCGACCTGTCCAGGGTGGACCCCTCCTCTCGCCTGTAGACAACTGGAGTTAGGCACCAGCACCCCTTGTGACCCCACTTGGGATACGCATAAGAGAAAATGGATGGGTGGATCTTGGACTTTTTACAACTTCACCGGGAGGTGCTAATTGGCTTAGCCCATCGCTTCCTTGTTAAGCGCCTGCATACATGCGCAGTATTGTACTTTCGGTCAAAACAGTGCTGTTATTATAAGCACACACAAAGGGCTTGATCTACCGATAAATTTAGCAAAATAAGCACCACAGAAATAATGGTAATCTTTAATAAAAAAAAGCTTGTTATGGAACGGAGATAAGATACAGTAAAAAAAACAACAACAACAAAATAACAGTTCTAAGGACATTTATACATAGTGTGTTTTATTTTACAATAAAACAGACTCAGAAAACGAGAGAAAGCGGTGTACGATCAGTGCAAAGTAACTCAGAGTAGTTAATATAAGTCTGAGAAGTACCCCCGGCTATAACAGTTCTATTAAGACTTACCCACATACAAGCTTCCAGGCGAACTTTTGACATGATGGTCCAGAGGGATATGCTTCCCTGGAGGCCTGCAGGCTCCACCATTCCATCTGCCCTCACGCCCACCTGCTCCGCACCAGTGCCGGATGTCGGTGCTCCCTCATGAGGACAGACAATTTGGTCCGGATAGGGAGGCTCAGGGAATTCCACTGAACCGCATTCATAGGCTGCCAGAGTCACTGATGCAATGTGAGGTCCCTGAAACAAAGAAAAACAAAGACAAAAATACAGACAGCGAGAAAGAGGCAAAAAAATGGAAATTAGTTCAAGCCAAAATAAGTGATGAACAGAGTAGGAGTAGAGCTACTTTTTGATATTTTGAGTCAGTGGAAGACCCCTTTTAATATTAGCATAGCTGAAAGGGGCAGCAATGAGTCAAATACTGACTTCTAAGATAATGACATTTATATGTGGGCCAGTGACTAAAGGCACTGGTGCTATCTGGGCCGCCGTTCAATAAAATTTAATATTTAATACTTGCAAGATAAAGACAAAAGCATCTAAGCACAAACAACCTAAAGGTTAATCTGTTTAAGCAAATGTGTCTGTATGTTCAGCTAGAAACATCTCCAAGACAAAGGCGGAATTATCATCTACTTCTTCTCATGCTTGAAGTCAGAGAACTTCAAGCATGAGAAGAAGTAGATGATAATGAACCAGAGAAAATGTGTATGTGCTTTGTTTTATTAAACTATGAAGTAAGCCAAATGTTGCTATAATTCAATAAAAAAAAAACTGTAGAATTGGTTAAGAGAGCAGGCTTAGTCCTGTTGGCATCCAAGGTATTGATATTACAAAGTTGGTCATGTAAATACATTTTAAAATCGGTCAATTGTAATGTCAGCAGAGTTGTATTTCTGTATGACGGACACACATTAATAATCATAACATGATGTGTTATCTTATTTTTGTAATTTCTGCCAGGTTTTATTGACGAACACAAAAATTAGTATACGCAAGTTTAACGTATACTCATTATAAAATAGAGATAAGTAAATATTATTTCACGTTACTTGTTGTAACTCAGTTGTGTCTGCAGAGTTTTTGAACTGCAGGGGAGGAAAGAAAAAAAAGGGCACATATATAGCACCACTGTAGATGGCACTTTAACACACATATTGGCTGCCAAAAGGGCACTTTAAAATGTGTTTGGGCTCCTGAGAGGGCCCTTTAACATTGGTTGTGGCACCCAAGGGGGCACTTGAGTGCTTTTTCCTTCCAAGAGGGAACCTGGACATGCATTTTGGTTCCCAAGGGGGTACTATACCACATGTTTTTGAATCTAGAGGGGAGACTTTAGCACACGTTTAAGCTCCTGAGAGGGCACTTTAACATGCATTTTGGCTCCCAAGGGGCCACTTGAGCAGCTGTTTGGCTCCCAAGGGGGTACTTTAACACTCACTCTAGCTCCAGAGAGGGAACTTTAACATGCATTTTGGCTCCCAAGGGGCCGCTTGAGCAGATGTTTGGCTCCCAAGGGGGTACTTTAACACACACTTTGGCTCCTGAGAGGGCACTTTAACATGCATTTTGGCTCCCAAGGGGTCACTTGAGCAGTTGTTTGGCTCCCAAGGGGGTACTTTAACACTCACTTTGGCTCCAGAGAGGGCATTTTAGTCTGTTTCTATCTCCCTGAACCCCAGTCGGCCTCAGCAAATAGCCGATCACACTGAACACTGAGCCTGGATCTACTGGATGTTTCTTCCTGTTAAAAGGGAGTTTTTCCTCTCCACGCTCACTACAAGCATGCTTGGTGTGAGGGGTTGCCTTTGAGAAAGTGAGTCGATGCAATCAACTGGTTTACCTTAGATAGAACCTTTGAAGCCTTGAGATGACATGTGTTCTGAAGTGGCACTATATGAATAAATTGAATTGAATTATATGTACTCTTAGTAAAACTAGGTATATATTTACATATCTGTTTATATTTTTAAGATCACTCAAGTATGCAAAATTATATATATCCCAAGTTTTGCTAGTTCATTAATGCAAATATATCAAAGTAAAAAAAACATTTAATTTACATTGTAAGATGCAACATCATGCTTTATAAAAAAAACTTCAAGTCAACAGAACTCCATGCGCATCAACTTGTTTATACTCCTTCTTAAGTGCTCTGAACTGTTAGTATTTCAACAGAATATAGTTAAATTTAGTCCATTAGGACTTATGTGCTCATCAGTATGACCTGAGTTTTCCCAGAATACTTAAAAGTATATTTTTTATAAACTATAAGTAGATTGTAAGTTTATAATGGGTAAATAAAGGCATATCTTCAAGACTACCTTAAGTTTACTGTAAAGTAAACTTAAAATGTCAGAATTTAGTCCCAATAAGTATACATTTTTTAAACTTCTTATCAATCTTAAAGGATATATTCTTTTGTATACTTCAGTATACTTTGAAATATTAATTTGAATTATACATACTTTTGCTAAGAGTGTTAACTTGAAATTCTACAAATAACTTGTGTAAGTAAAACACTTCATGATGTTTGAACAATCTCTATAGAGAAATTTAGAGACGTAATTTAGTTTTCAAGGTAGATGAACTCAAAGAACTCTCATGATTGCAGTAACTGCCTGCTAAGTAGTGGACAAATACATAACAATCAGTTCTTGCAATGTTGTTTCCACTCCTGTAATTTAGTTATCATAGGCTTCCTGAAATGGAACAACACCCCTTTAAACATTATGCTACATGGTCATTCACAGATGACTCACTTTGACAGTAAGGATGATAACATCTGGTCTGAGAGCTCAAAGTTTGATTAAGTTTCTTTAATGAACAGGAGTCATTGTGGAAAGGAAGGATCATGTGACACGATTTATTTGAACAAACACGAGTTATATGAAGAACAAATGCATAAGCAGATGTGAAACAACGGAGACGATCAAACAATTCTGTAGCATGATCCCTGTAAATAAAGGCAAGTCTGTGGCGTGGGCTGATGTAAGAAGACACTTTGTACTGTTTCTTCCATGTGTTTACACTCATGTACGTGCGTGTAGGAAGGGTGCTCCCAGTGACGCACAATGCCACAGCACAGCACTCTGGTAAAACTTGGGGCGGGGCTGGAACTTCCGAACCAGCATGGGACAAGGCAAGACAGGACTGTACGTGCATTTGAGGATGGTTAAAGAACAGTAAACTGCTGAATCATATTAAGCCATTAAATTTGCATAATCATAACATATACATTCAAAGTAGAGATACTCTCTGCATGAGCTGGGGGCCTTTCAAACATCCAGAGTGGAATAATTGTGAAAATATATACATTCATATATATATATATATATATATATATATATATATATATATATATATATATATAT